GAAATGCGGCATGACGCATCGGCCGTAGGCACTCGAAGCCGGATATCGATCCAATCAATCGATAGTACAGAGAGCGTCGCTTAGATTGCATCACCCTAAACTTAAACCCCACCTTTGTAGAGACGACTTCTATGAAATAACCTCACTTAGGATCAACTTACCCTCAAAGGCAATACGCGCACCCCCGGACGTCATAGTTTGGTTAGACTGTGGCAACTAGCCAACTTAACGTCCATACAGGGGCTGCCAACTAGTACAATGCCTACAGAAGTCGAGGCATCAAGGCATGTGAATGGAAGTGGAGAGAGCTAGCGCCTCAATTAAGATGCTGTTAAGCATTAAGATGCTTCAGCCCTCACTGACGGGGGCGTGTGTCAGTGAAGGGTGGATCGCTATCCTAAAGGGAAAGGAAAGTAGACTGGAGGTCTAGACCGTTGTTTTTGTTAGTCCCAAATTCGGGCGCACCAGGGGAGGTACCTCATCCCATCTACCATTTGGACTGGACACCCAATGAAGTAGTTGATGGGCACGGTGTTAACGTACATAGTCTACTTGCTCGACGGTGGCTCACGCCATTGGGGAGTCACCCTTCCCTCCTCCCCATTCACCTGGCCAAGTTGCTCCGAAAACATATGTTTGAACACTTACACAGTATAGGAATAAGACGGGGTCATCTAGAAGATAAAACAAAATGAGATTGGACATCAAACAGCTAAGCGAGACATCTACTCCAACAAAATCCGAATGGAAGCCATTCATTCGTCTTCAGTCTTTTTCGCATGCATTCTTGAAATCCACTTTACCAATTGTTCTTCTAACAAAAACAATACTAGCGGATACTTCATACTACTTTTTCTTTTTTTCTTCTATAGAATAATTACATTTAATAGCAAAAATATAGGAGTTTGCTCCGACTTTCTTCCAAGACGGCTAACACTCTGTAAGGGCTCATCCAATACAGTATCCTTGGACTCCCCTTGGGACCCTCAAATACCGTTACTCCTCACACCTTCTCCGCGAACTGTAATCGCTCCGCAATCCTCGTACAAAATTAAGGAACACTCATCCCAAAAACAGATTTAGGTCAAGTACCCAAACCTGGGAATCATTATTGGCTATTCGCTTCGAAGATGTCAGCAGTTAGCTATCACAGATTGATGGGGAAGTCCTGGATAGATACGATATAAAGGTTGGCGGAGACACCACAGAACTATTGAGAAGGAAATTCAGCTGCAAGAAGCAGCCATAAGCCTTAAACACTTGGTGAAAAGCTTGAAAGACAAATGGCAGCGTGCTGAAAATCACGCCGACACCATCACAAACAGTGAGGAACACTACGTTCTCTTACAAGATTTCACGAACCACTTTGAATCCAATGGCTCCGAAGAACTTCCGATAAGAGGTCAATTTTTAATTACCTCATTAGAAGCCATAGCAAACTCCCTCACCAAAACTCTTTCAAGTGTAAAACAAACAGATAATATAAAATGTAGTCCAGTAGCATTTTTCGATCAAGGAGTTCAGGTATCTAAGCGGGAACTTCCTGATTTCAGTGGAGATATGAGTGCCTTTCCTGCCTTTTGGGAACTATACTCGGCAGCAATCCACACCAACCCAACGTTATCTCCTTCTACCAAGTTCATTCACCTCAGGAGCAAACTTAAGAGAAAAGCCAAAGATCCTGTAGCCTCCGTTCGCCTATCTCCGGATAACTATCAAGAAGCAGTAGAACTGTTGCTAAATACATACAACCGACCAGAGGCTTTACGAAACAAGCTAGTTCACGGGCTGGAAATGCTCTCTCCGTCAGAAAACAGCCCCGCTGACCAACGTAGTACACTTTCCAAAATCAAGACAGTATGGGTCCAACTCAGAAATCTAAGAGAGCAACAGGTTCTACTACAACTATGCGCATAATTCGCTCCAAGTTCCCGCAGAAAGCAAGGGACAAAGCCGGGGAGATGAGGCAAAGAAATGACAATGGGACAGCCGAAGAATTGATACACGCCTTCGATCAAGTCATTGATAGACTCGAATTATGGAGGACACCGATCCAATACCATTCTCTAGCTCCCAGTCAACCACGATCAATATGGGCAGATCCTCAAAGCTCAGGGAATCCAAGAGCAGAGAGATACTCCAACGGGAGAGAAACTAGTCTATACCCAGGCTCGTGCTCAGGTAGTAGACGATCAGAAATGAGTTACTCTAGAGCTTTCAAACCACGGGAACTTCTGCGATGCTCCTTCTGCGTACGCACAGGAAACAACGCCTACGAATGCAACGAGGTAACATCTCCGTACGCAAGGAGGAAAATGTCAGGGGAGCTACACTTACGCTGCAAGTGCCTGAAAACAGGCCACCGCAGTTCTCAATGCAACGCTCAACCATGTCACAAGTGTGGCAAAGCACACAACAGTGCCCTTTGTTACTTTAGGAGCATCTCGCAGCACCAGCCGTTCCATTAGTCCAAGGCAATGCTACCCAAGCAGAAGCTCTATGGACAGCTACTGTTCCAACTCAAACCTGAAGCACAAAGCTGGAACAACTTCTCGATCACCCAGCCCTACTCATTCAGCAAGATCAACTCGAAGAAATAATAAACAAAGTTGAAGAAAATCACCTCACCCCAGAGTCGGATTCAAAAATTCCCCAACAAGTCACACATACTCCACTCCTTCACATGGTACGGAACATGGTACCGCATAAGAACCTACACGGGAGGTAGAGTACGTTGAAAACGGATTAGGGGCACAACAGGACGACTCGGACTCAGACTCGGATCTATTCCTTGTGTGTACAGTCCAGACAAACAAAACACCGTCAACGCTAACTACACACCACAAGCTAGAACATGCAAAGTAACCAGCCGGAGAAATCCTCNTCCTCGCCTCATGACAATCAAGGCTCAGACATACGATTTCATCAGCAAATCAAACCAACTTCTCACCGTATTACTGGATAACGGTTCTCAGCATAGTTACATGAAGCGTGACACGGCCACCGTTCTTGGGTTGCAATTGCAATACCCTCAGGAAATCATGACCGTGTCATTCGATGGCCACTCACAGACGGAGACATCACACCGAGTAAAAATCGTACTTCAAAACACGCACAACAGTAACCCAACAACCCTTACTTGTGGACTCGCAAATTCATAACCGCCGTCTCCAGTAATACAGGAGAAGAATATTGGGCAGCCTTTGAACAACCCAAAAGCAGTGTGGAAATAGATATTCTCATCGGCATGGACTATTATTGGGACCTTGTTGACTTCAAACTCAATCGCCGACTTCCCTCCGGTTTAGTCGAGTCCCAAACTAGGCTTGGTCCAGTATTGTCCGGTTGCCAGTCGCTACCGCCTTCCACGATGCATTCCACTTTGAGATTTCACAATGAGAGGGGAGACCCTGATAAAGAGACCGACAACATTGTACGCCACCTTTTCGGCTTAGACATGGTTGGCACGAGGGAAGATCTCGAGGACACGAATGCCCGTATTATGAAACTATACCGCGACACAGTACAAGTTACCACGGAGTAATCCATGAAATTACAGTTCCCCTGGAAAACAGGTCATCCCCTCTAGCCGACAATAAAGCCTTGGCACTACGAAGTTTAGAAAGCCAATATGAAAAACTACGCCACCATCCTTCGTTGTGGACTTAGTATTGCAAAACCTTACTTAGAGGACCAACTAAACTCGGGCATAATAGAGGGCGTAAAAAAGGATGCACCTGTCGGTACACGAGTCTATTACATACCACACCAAGCGGTACTGAAAGAGGACAGCGCAACTACAAAACTGCGCATATTATTCGACGTCTCGAGCCACATGAGAGGCGCAACCAGCCTTAATGATTGTATGCTTCAGGGCCCATCCTTAATACCTGACCTCTGCGGTGCACTATTAAGATCACGTCCCAGTCTCATCCTCATTATAGCAGACGTAGAAAAAGCATTTCATCAGATCCGATCGCAAGAGGACCAAAGAGACGCAACCAGGTTTCTTTGGCTAAAAGACCCGACAAAAAGCCCAACAAAAAACAACATTAGTGTTCTACGCTTCACCCGCGTTCCATTCGGCGTGAACGCCTCACCGTTTTGCTTAGTATATCAATCAAATATGCTCTGGAAACAAACAGCAACAATTACTTCAGTAAGGAACTCTTAGTAAACACTTACGTAGACAACGTAATCATAGGCGCCCACAACGTTGAAGAGGGAATAGCCAAACAAAAACTGAGCAAGGAAACATTCAGAGCTATGAGTATGAATCTCCGCGAGTTCATGACCAACGATAACGATGTCTTAAATGCGATACCAAGCAAAGATCGCATGAACAAAACAGGTAGTACAGTCAAACTGCTAGGACTTAAGTGGGACACAAGCTCGGACACACTATACATCCACATCAAAACCTCACCAACTGAGGTTTTGACAAAAAGGACCGCACTGAAATCGTTTGCTTCCACTTTTGATCCAGTGGGCCTATTGGCTCCACTATTAGTGAGAGCAAAAATGTTTATTCAGGATATATGGATCAACAAACACTCTGGGATAATATAGCATCTCAAGGTGGACAGAAATAGTTCAAGAAATAAGAAAGTTCAAGAAATGGCTTCAACAAAAAAATTCCAAGATTTGTAGCCAAATCAAAGGAAGCAGAATACGATCTAGTGCTTTCTCCGACGCCTCTCGAAGAGTATGTGCTGCTGTCACATACCTGTTATGTAAGGCGCCCCGCGAAAATCCCGTGAGCAACATGATATTTTCAAAGACGAAACTAGCAGTTCCAAAAAAGTCAACCATCCCGAGACAAGAGTTGCTGGCCTTAGTACCTGCAATCAAATCAACACAGTACCTACTCAAAGAACTCAAAATCCCCATCAATACAATTCACATATTTTCCGACTCGCAGATAATTTTACATTGGATCACCTCAACCAAGCCACTCAAAACCTTCGTTCACAACAGGGTCAGATATATCAAAGAGCTGTGACGAACTGAAAGAGGCAAGCATTGCAAGCCACTTCCACTTCGTCAGTTAAGAGCAAAACCCAGCCAACTGTGCAGCTAGAGGCCTGACAAATGCGGAATTAGCACACCATATGTGGTGGCACGGCGCCGAGTTCATTACTTCACCGGTCAACGGGTGGCCGAAGAGAGATCCTCAGCTGAATCCACAATCAACATTCACTGATGAAGTGGAAAAAAGTTTAAATCCATCGATTCAGTAACAGCAGAAGGCTATAAGTCAGTACTACCATTCAACAAGGCCAACTCTTACACGAAGTTAGTTCATATTACAGCTTACGTACTCAAGTATATACAGGAACTTCAATCTCGAGCCAACAAGAACAAAGCACATGATTCCAAAACGAGGGAAGCACGGCATCCGATGTTTAGTCAAACATTCATCACACTAGAAGATACACGAAAAGCAGAGTTGGTCATCCTCCGTGAGCATTACCGCGAGAGAGCACTTCGGCTTCATAGCCGTATAATGAACCGCTTCCAATTGATTGAAGACGACAATGAAATCTATAGAGGCAATTTTAGGATGGGTAACTCTCAATTAGAGACCTCAGCCAAGAACCCAATTTTACTTCTACCAAGTCATCAACTGACGCGCACGATAGTCACGCACTATCACGAAAAACTATTCCACGCAGGTTCATCCCACCTTATCACATCTCTAAGGAGTCACTACTTCATTCCTAGAATCCGCCGTGTAGTAAATAGCGTCATCTCGGAATGCATTACTTGCAGACGACATTAAGGTTGATGTTGTTCGTACCCTTGCGCGCTAGATCTACCGTCCCAACGGGTGCACCGAAGTCGCCCATTTCAAAACGTAGGACTGGACTATTTCGGTCCCCTCAAGATTCGTTCCGAAGGAAGACGAGAGTCTAAAGTATGGATATCACTATTCAAATGCATGACAACTCGGGCATTCCACCTCGAAGTCTTCGAAGACAATTCTGCATCGCAGTCCCTTTTGGCTTTCAGACGATTTGTGTCACGCAGGGGGGCTCCATCCTAGGTAGTGAGTGACAATGCTCCAACATTCAAATTGGGACAGGAAATCTTAGTCAACGAGTTGACTCAATTCAAGGAAACCCCCTAGTTCGGCAGTAAACGATATCACAGAAATTGAGAGGGATTTCATAACGCCACTTTCGCCTTGGAAAGGCGGCTTTTATGAGAGTTTAGCCGGCTCGGTGAAATTAGCTCTGAAAAAAGCAACACACACAAATATCATAGACTTGATAAGTTCCCAGTTCACGTTGGCAAACAGCTTAGACTCAAATCCAACAGCGAACATAGTCAAGAATCTTGTCAATTCCGAATCACACACATATCTAATTAATACTACACAGTCCTACGAGACTTGCTAGAAAAATTCTGGCAGTCCTGGCACAAGGAGTACCTTCACGCCCTTGCCGAAAGGAATCAAAGCAAGTCCTCGGCCAAACAAGGGTCTAGAGCCAACCCTTCAGTTGGAGACGTAGTGCTGATTAAACAAGAAAACATATCCAGGTCGTCTTGGCCACTCGCTCTCATAATTGGGATCAATAGTTCAGCAGACGGTTCGGTACGGTCAGTCAAACTCAAAACGGGAGCCCACAAGACCCTCGACCGTTTCATCAATCAGCTTATGCCCCTGGAGATAACCGCTCAAACGAAAAATGAACTAACTACGCCAAAAGAACGCCTCAAAAAAACAGCAAGAATCTAGCCTTCGCGAGCAGCCAAGCAAAAATAGTACACCGAACAATAACACCACAAAATTAACATCCATAACTAACGACTTTTACAAAAAACGGCTCACTTCATCATCACACAAAAAAAAACAATCAAAAAGACACTGTTGCAATTCGTCCTATCGATTCCTATCATAACTTAAAAGCAAACAAGATGCCAGCGCTGAGTGGTCCCGCCACGCAATAGATCGTAATCGACCGCCACGCGGATCCGGCGGCGGCCTCGCAAAATCGTATTTTCGGATTTTCGTCTCCAAAATCATCAATTTCTGGGAATTTTTCCTCTATTCGTATCCTCACACGTTGGAAACGCGTATCCACGACTACACTCATTATCGTGTAGCTTCTTTGTATCATCGGAGAGATTCTGCTAAGATCTGACCCACATGTTTTCAGATAGCTGCCCCGTGTTAATGAGTCGTCGTGGTTTACGCCGTGGTCGTCTACCATACCGCATACACGGACCACAGAAATCTAGAAAGGACACGAGCCAGGTTTAGCCCAGTGAATTCCATATCGAATCTTTTTCAAAGATCGTCTTCGGTTGAACGCGGGGCTCACGATGTCCCTGTTGACGACGACACTATCAATAGTTTACACTATACACCACAACGAGGGATTGGCTCAGTGGCAAACTCCCATCCGCAGACCGAGGGGAACGACATCACCCCCGCATTAGCCTCATTAAGTGTCAGTCAAGAAAATCAGACTGAACAGCAAGCTGAGGCGATGGACACCAGCACAATAGACCAATCGCGTCCCCCTTACTACAAGACAACGATTCCAGTCAGTGGGAACCGGCAAAAAAATGAAACCAAATCAGTACTGCACCTTAGAAGACATAATAGTTGCAAGGAATCAAATAGAAGAACGAAAAGGCGGAAAACATCCTGCTGAGAAAAGAAAGCAAGATCGTATAAACGCAGTGATGACCTTAACAAAATACGATAAAAGAAAAGCGGCGGTTCGAAATGAAAACCTTTTCGGGCGCAACCCGACACCTAGTACATTCGTTCGCAGTTAGGCATTGACACCATTCATTGCAATGAACAGTGAACCCTAATCGACCGAAGAACTTACAGCGCATCAGTTTCGTAGTATTTTGAATTAAATCGCAGCCAACAGTACTCTACGCGACCAGGTTCGAGACCTCGTCGTACCAGCGCCGGAAGCGACGCCGGTACGACCAAGAGGCTTCGAAACTGCCACGACCATTGTTCATTTGTTGCAAAACCTACTTGAATTAGTTCAAAATACCGCTCGTTTCGGTCCCCCAAGGGCGCAAAGCAACACATTTCAATAACAAGCACCCTGTCCACGCTTACGAGGTATAACTCGACGCCGCGCGACGGGTCGGATAAAATTTGCGACAAGAATGCGCCCTGCTAGATCCGTTCACCCTTGGGTAGAGTTCTGCACTTTCTGTGATGAACATGAATTATACATCTGTCTGCCCGTCGCTCCTCTACCTCAGTAGTAGGGCCTACAGAGCGGAGAAAAGCGGTATTTGCAGTAACTGCGTGAAACACCACTATGGCCTCTGCATACCCAGGGACCCTTGCACCATTTGCAAAATAGAAGGTCACCATCGCGCCTTTTGCGTTCAGAACCCTTGGGTAATTCCGGACATAACTACTCCACCAGAGCGCGCCTATGGGTGATCCCGGACATAACTACTACATCAGAGTGCTTCTACCGCGAACTTCGGTTCAAAACGTATAGAGACCCTTCACCAGGTCACACTTCAAGGCGTCCTTATACTCGCCCTTATAGGGGCAGCGGAAAGGCTGAGGAAGGAAATCACCCGCCGGAAGACGAGACTAACCCGTTCCCGAGACATCCTCTCCACATTTCAGTGATGACTGAAAAAAATGAGAAAGTCATCTTGAAAAAAAGTTACACACCTCAATGCCCGATCAGCTAATGGTGGCTTCCTAACAAGTTCATTGTTTCGTTTTCAATTACTAATCCAAAGTTTCATCATCTAGTTAAATACTTTATTTAGTTACTCGTTCGGCGTTCACTCTGACCCTCAGCAATCGGTTTCTTTTCTTCTTCCCTCCATGCGTTGCAAAATGAGTAGCGGAAAGGCCACTAGTTCATACCTGGAGCACCGATACTTGAGAGTTTGCTCACTAAACCTTTTCAAGATAAGAGGCCACTTCCGCCACAACACTCAATACGTTTCCATGCAATTCTATTCATCAAATTCTATCTATTCTCTTCACTTCCACGCGAAAAATCTCCTTAGGCGGCAATACCTGCAGCAGCCACTCGTCCGTTCCACGAGTCGAAGATCTTGTTCGAAGCTCGTTGTTGTCGCTAATGTTGTTACCTGTTCTGTTATGTCACAATTACCCTTGTTACCAGGTTTCCTTCTCAAGGAATCAGCAAGTTGAGTAGTTGTTTTGAGAAGCCATGCAATTTTCTGGCAGTTCGTATTGAAAAATTAAAGACATTGTGCCTTGCTCCATTGCAGCGGACCCCCACTAAGAGGCAAAAGTCCAACAGTCAGTACTCCCTTGTATTTCCTCCCGCCAAAAAAATGGCCGACTGCAGCTGTCGTGCACTACCCTATAGGGCGAAAGCCCGAGGCCGATGCCCCAAAGGGATGTTTTGAGGTGGGAGTGTCGCGTATCGCAAGGATCGCTCCGAGGGTTCCCCGGGCGTGCCGACGCCTGTAGGACACCGTCGCAATTGATCCCCTACAATCAAACATGATCGCGCGGGAAACACGCGTTGCAGCAAGGTGGCTCTCGTCGCGGTTTGTCATTCGCCCTGTCCGACTCGGCTCTATCCCGACGTGTCTCGGCTCCCCCCGCATCTCGCGACGGCCCTGCAGGGCTTCGGCCCTTAGAATCTCTCTTGGTTAATTGCACTCCCGACCTACTGAGTGTCTCCGCCGAGGATTCCGTGAGTTGTAATTGATGTCACGATAATTTGATTGTTCATTAAAGACTGATTCCTTTTCTGCTTTTTATTCGAATTGAGACCTGTTCTCACCTATTACATCGAATATCATTACTTCATTCGGAAAACGGTTGGATCAGATGTCAAATGAAACTGTGTGATGCCAGGGGTGAAAGCATACTCCCAACTACGGCTTGAAATAGCAGACGTGCAACTGGTAGAATCACCGAAATGCGGCACAGGATGTCCCAAAATTATGAGCGCCGAAAAGCAGAAACTTTCAAGATAAAATTAATCTGACAAATTCACTTCACCTGCTATTAAT